TGATGATGATGATGATGATGATGATGATGATGATGAAGAGCCAGTGGAACATGGATTATATTTCCTGTGTCTTTTCGGTTGATCCTTCCGGTCTGCTGGTCGTGGAAGATGAAGACGAGAATATCATATGTGGGTGGGCTTGCGCGTGGTTGTTGCAAGAAAAGGCTTAGCAGCACTGTGGTTGCGGTGATGTTTATGTAAGTGTATTTTTGCTCATGCTTTTATTGTTGATGTTGTTGTGGTGGTTGTTGTAAATGGTAATGGTGATGGTGGTGGTGGTAGTTTTGGTGGTCAAGATGATGATGATGATGATAATGATGATGATGATGTAGGAGAACTAGTGGAACATGTAAATGAATTATCCCTCTTGTGTCTTTTCGGCTGAGCCTCCCGGTCTACTGATCGAGGAAGATGAAGACACGAATATCGTTATGTGGGTGGCGTGCGGTTGTTGGTAGGAGGAAAAGACTTCGAGATAGTAATGGTGGTGTGTTGCTTAATATACTGGTGTACCGTTGCTTTTGAGGTTTTTCGTTGTTGTTTTTGTTGGTTTCGTTGTTGTTGATGATGATGTTGTTCGTGGTGGTGGGGATGGTAGTAGTGGTGGTGGCTGTGATGTTCTCCGAAACGTCTTACAAAATTTACCGAGCCATTTCTGACCCCTAACCCTTCTTCTCCCCCTACTCCCCCCCCCCCACCTCTCAAGGTCACAACGGAATCCTCAGTCACGGTGATCACGTGGCCTCCTCGGGGATGAACATTGTCAAGGACGGGTACAGGGAGCTGGGCATCGGCCGGCAGCTCTTTCGCCGGGTCATGGAGGTCAGTCAGCCTGGTACAATGATAATGATGATGATCATTTTTGTTATTTCCTTAATGGGTCTGGTGGACTCCACGAATAAATATTCGAGCGAGAGCGAGGCTCTTTATTTGGCTCCTTTGTCAAAATACTTAGAGGCACCTCCACTCGTCCAAATAACTCCATTCGAAGTGCCATTGTTCCTGGACATTCAAACATAATAATGTTTGACATCCTCCTTTTCATGGCCGCATCTTCGCAATGTGGACTGAGCTCTTCATTTACAAAGTTCTTATATCATCTCATGATTGTGATGATAATGATGATGATGATGATGATGATGATGATGATGATGATGATGATGATGATGATGATGATGATGATGATGATGATGATGATGATGATGAGGATGATGATGATGATGAGTACATCCAAAGTCTCCACTTTTTGTGGAGTCACTATGGGTCGACCTGACTATATGTATGAAAAATACTATTAACTTGTTTTTGAGAAAAAAATGGGGGGGGGGGGGGGTATATGTAGATTGAACATCTCTTCGGTATATCAGTTCTCATTGGACGCCGTAATGCTCCACTTCTTTTAAGTGCCAGTCCTGAAACTAGTGAAGCAGACATCGGCAGTAATGCTTCATGAGTTATTTTTGTGCTTGCATGGTATAAAACAGAGCCTGTCAACCTTTTTATAGCCAGAGCCTACTTTTGCCTCCTTTAACAGGTTGAAATAATTTCAGCACTGCTCATCTTCATTGTATTCCCAAGTATTGTGTAAAATACTAACTGTCGCTACGTTGGGGATCCCTACCACTCTCCCATAATGCCTTATCGTCTACTTCTTGGCGATATCACCGAGTCTTGAACTAAAGTTGTTATCGCATCCGATCCAGACATTGCGGATTGCTTTGTTAGTAAGACAACTTCCTGGGCTTTCGGAATATAGCGGTAGGGTGGCCATTTCATGTCCACGCCGCCTTTACTTCCCCAACTCGAAGTCAGGTAACTATTACTGCTGGATGCCAGGAGGGGGCGAAAAAATCCATGTCCGAACCGAGGCTCGAACCCACACTTTTCGCTTCGGAGATGAGCGCACTAACCGCTCCGCCACGGCACCCTCCTTGAACTAAAGCAGCCTACATTATGACTCTGGGGTACCTAATGCCCCATGGATGCGAATAAAGTTACTATTTTGGTACATTATGACTTGATTTAACTAAATTCGACTGTGGTCTTCACAACGAAAGTGGTTGGGGTTGTTTTGTTTTTTTAGATCGCTTGTCGAAACGGTTGTATTGTGTCAAAATTGTAGGTTTTGCTCCATCCATGAAGGAAAATCTAGTAGACCCCAGAGTTAACTGTGGAATCTGGTTGGTAGTGTGCACCCTATATAAGGAATAGCAACATACCACTATTCACCTACAGGTTATGAGAGAAAGAAACGTTGGTGGCACTGCCTTGTCCAATCGCATCACGTTCTACGAGCAGTTCGGCTGGATCTAT